GAGGCGCGAACCGAACCACGCCCTGATAGTCTTCCACGTCGAAATCCTCCCAATCGAAGTCCCTCAAGTATTCCTGCAGGGTCTGGTTCGTCTCCTCCGCCTCCCAATTCAGGGATTCCCTTCGAACAAATCACCGCGAAGCTTTTCGGGTGAAGGTTTGCAGAAAGGCAAAGCCGTGGAAAATGCATTTACCTCCGAGTTTCACTCGAGAGCGGACTAAAAACGGATATTTCAGTGAATCGTTACCGTTATCGTTACGGGTCACGCAGTAAGCGTCGCACGATCGGCGACACGAAATTTTCGTAAATTATTCGTCGCGAGCCAGACGCAGCCGAACGGAGAAATGAGGGAAAAAGCAAAACAAGTCACACCGTTCGGATTTCAACTCATGTCCATAGACCGCTTTACCCGGAATTCTCTCCTGAACTATGTAAACAAGAGGGGCGCGATGGAAATAGCACTTTCATCGATGCTCGGTCTCAGTTTCGGAAAGAAAACATTTAAATAAAAAAATTTAAAAATCAGCGTGAGCTGAATAGCGCTTTAAAATTGTATGCACGCCATCTTCCTTCACCGGTTTACTTAATAGCATATACAGGGTGTTTCAAAAGTCCAGACTCACAGGCAGATTTCCTAATTTACCTTTATTTAATTAGATGTTCGAATTGCATGCCATGAACTTGCATACAGATATCAATCCTGGCACATAACCCCCTTTGAATATTTATTAGTACTTCTGTACTAATTTTGGTGCACTCATTCATTGAGAAATTTAATTAATTCAAAATACCCACGAGTACGAACTTTTGAAACACCCTGTACACTTAAAGACCAAATCGGCCGCTCGCCTTGCGATCAGCTCTGTTCCTTTTTTTCAAAATTCCGCGAATCCGGAACGAGAACTCACGGGTCGAGTCGGATATCGCCGAGGTCAAAGGTCGCGTGGACGTACTCGTATCCCACGGCCGAGAGGCAGAGGTTCATGCCCTCCACCCTGGGGTAATACGTGACGAAGAACTCGCACATTTCGTCGTGGGTCGTCAGTCCGCCGAGGGTCGCGTTGTCCCGGGCCGAGGAGTCCAGTTCGCATTCTGGGGCGTGAGGACGAAAAATTATGGATGGTGATTGGTTCTCTTCGCTTTAATGGACGTGTCGGCTGAAGAAACTTAAAATATATTTCATGTAAAAATGTCGGATGTTTATGCGTCTTCTATGGTGTTTGAGTGACCGTAGAAGATGCAGGAATTAAATCAATCATCGGGAATTTCATCGACAACTTATAGACCGTGTTCGCTCCCGTTCGGCAGCTGCGCCACCTTGCCTTCAAGGATTATCCACCCTGTTTTAGGTAAAAGCTTCTGAGTTATGCCTTCTCTGCCTGTCGCGGCCATGGTTTTATCTCCCATTTGTGACGCGGTAGAATACGTATGTAGACAGAGCCTGAGACTTCAGGCCTGAGATTTGAGCCAGATCTGAACTCGTATCGGCTAAAATGACGTCATATGGGGTCAGCATGATGCGCCGTGGATGACCCATAAGGGCCGGAGACGCCGCGGCCTTCCCCACGACGCAGCAGCGTGGACCGAGGCAGCATACCGACGGTGACGTGATCGCCGGGAAGAAGGTTGAACTCCTCTCTTAGGATGCGGCTCTGCTGGTAGTCGAAGTCGTAGTGATCGTCGTGGAGGATCCAGGGAAGTTCCTTCCCGTCTCTGAACACGCGGGCTTTCATCTTCCTCCCTGCGTGGAAGTTCAAACTTCTCATTAACGCGTTGAGATGTGCGCTCGTTAAACGGGACGTAGGCTCCTAGCCCGCCATTTCTGGACTTCGTTTTCGAATGCTTAATCACGTGAATTTGCATCTCCAATTTGCATCTTTTTCCATGTCTCTCAAAATCTAATTTTGAACCAGCCCGGCCTGCAGTTTCCTCAGAACACGAGGATAAGAAATAGGCCCTAATTTTTTTAAGCATTTGTTTTATAGAAGGTGCGACTTCATTCTAATCCTAATCCTAATCCTATTTCGACACCAACGCTGTCATTACGAATGAACTGCGAGTAAAATGTTCCATCTAGATTCTTAAAATTGCTCGATTGATTCGCTCATGATTACGAGTGAAAATGCCTGCTGAACTAAACTCATCTTTACATCGAGTCGACGGAAACCACCACCGGCCAAGCAGAGCCATCTCTCGGCCACCCCTGCAAGCCGCTAACCATACCATCTCAGCAAGCGAAGAGGTAGAGGCGTACCGAGGAGGTGGGAATGCAGGAGTCCGGCGAAGATGCGAATCCCCTCAGGAGGGAGGAACTTCTTCGTGCATTCCGCTGAACAGTGTCCCACGGTCATGAAGTGGCTCAATCCGTGTGGGACGAGCTATAGATTGAAGTCAACAGGATGCAATTTGGCCAAATGCTGAATATCGCTGCTAATGAAACAGCTTCTTCTGTCATATACGCGATGGTGTTTCTTATGGTCGGACGTGGGGAAGAGTCTTCCCCCTCCCCTACTCGACGAATTTATCGATCTCGTCCTATCAATTAAGGCCATTCATTCAAGGGTCAATGGTCAAGGGTCAAGGGTCCCGTTGTCACCAACATCGAAGAAGAAACAATCCCCCCGCCAATATTTCTGCAACTCTTTCCCTATATTTGAGTCCTAACAAATGGAGCAACTACCAATAATTTTTTTTCCCCTTGGGTCAGTAGAAATCGATATTCGAAATTCGCCTCAGAATCCATCTAAGCCCGATTTTTCAGCCTTCATTAGAGCAAAAATTGTCATAGAAATTCACATCGGTTTCGTGCCTATTAATCCAGATAGCCACCCGGGGGCAATCGCATTTTTGAGAGGAGTTTTTTCTTCGCTGCATGCTCACCTGCGTGTAGATGACCTCGTGCCCGAAGACGATGGTGCCCATGTCGTAGGCACGGAGCCTGCTCGTGTAATAGACCGTGAGGCCGGAGCCGTCGCGGATCCCGTCGACCAGCTGCGGGTTGTCGTAATGCATCTGCATCCGGTAGTACGTCGGGCCCTCCGAGGCTGGTCGGAGGGGGTAGCCGGCTTGCTTTGGGAAATTTGCTCCCTGGAATCGGCGTATTCGCATGAGGCATATTGTTTGTTTTTTTGGGATGAAACCGGGAAAATGTAGAACGAATTGAAAGGCCGAGGCCACGCTCATGCGTCGGCCCGGCCGGCAGTGCATAGGTACAATGTGGACGCGTCCTTGCATGCCGTTTTGACCAATCGGAAAGGCGTATCGTGTTTCGGTGACAGACTTGCGTTATAGGTCGAGGCATGGATCGCAGCACAAAGGTTGTTCCCCCCCCCCCCCAAAAAAAAAATGAAAGAGAAAAGCGGCAAGGAGATGGACGACCTGATAAACGCGATAAAAGTTCGCAATTCGATTTAGCCTTTGGAAGAATCCGATCGCTCTCAGTCAGCAATCGAGGTCGTCCCGCCTATCCGGTTCGAAACTGCTCCATCCAAGCGATTCAGACGAAAGACAGCGACCTACAACGGCGAGCCTGTCGATACTTGACAATACACGATGCAAGGTCGACCATTGGAACCGCAAGCGAGCAAGGAAGAGAAACGTCACCACTCCGCCGACGGCCCAGCCCATGAGGACGCCCTGGCAATTCCCGACGAGGAGATCCACTTCCGGGCGGTGACAGGAGGCACCACGGGGATGGTCCCGCAGGAACTGCTCGAAGCGCTCCGCGTCGCTCTCGTTCGTCTTGCACAGACTCACCACCAGATGGTGCACGTACGCCTCGTTCCCCTTCGTGACTCGAGAGCGGTACTGCGGGATTCGAAGGAACGGTGGGCGGTGGGGGAGGCTCGAGGGCGAGGGAGGCGAGGGACGTCTCGGTTACCCCGATGACGTGCTGCTTGGCGTCGATGGCTGGTGCCTCGAACAGGCTGCACCAGTAGGTGGTGGGCGAGGGCGGGATGACGATGTCGTTCCTCAGCTCTCACTCTTTCACGTCTGGCTCGTGCGGTGCGTCCTCTGTCGTCGGGAAAACGGTTAAAAGTCCTCAGTCGGGCGATCGTAAACGGAATCGAAGCGAATCCGCACCGATTTGCGGGTCGAGGAGATTCGCGGACTTCACGCCGCAACGGTCCCGCCCGTGGTAGAAGGGATCTTCCCCGTCCGGATCCGTCTCCCCGTACGCGTATATCAGGCTGCACGTGTCACTCTGTGCGCGTGAGAGAGAACTTACGTATGGTTCTTGCTTCATTTTATCACTCCCAATTGAAGGTAAATTTATAACCTTTTATTTCATATATTATTTTTATATTATTATCTCCAAATTATATATTATCTCAAAATAACAATAAAATGAAAAAAAATATTCTGAAAGAGAAAAACTACAATAACTTAAAGTTGTATGCAATTTTAAGGGAATAATTTCTCATCCCGAGTCCTTCTGGAGACACTCCGAATATGGTCTCCTTCAGCTTAGGAATCCCGGATGCAAAATCGCTGTTAAGCGAAGACTTCATCCAACAAGTGCTTTAGATGGCACGAAACGAAATCGAGAAAATCTCCTTGTCGATCCTTTTACCCTTACCACCTTGCAGATCCTAACACCTAGCACCGAATACCTGACGCCCAATGCCCGAGGCGTGTCGTCCATCCCTGCCTTATTTGCTCGTAGGGAATGGGTAATCATTAATTTTCGTCGACGCCTACCGTCGTCACGCCTGGTATCTTTCGTGCATCAGGTCGGTTTATGAATCTCCAACTTCAGAGAAACTTTTCTCCGCCTGGCTAACAATCAATGCATTTCCAATAATTTCCAATAAATGCGTTTGTAAATTCGGTCTGTATGAACGACACCAGTCCGACATTTTTTACACACGCCACGCGCCTCTCCGAGGAATCCTTGTTGCCGCTCAAATATCTAGTTTTGCGCTTGAAATGTAAGTAAAAAAATTCTACAAATTTTTGTTAATTACTAATTTAATTACTAATTTTCGGCGTGAACATACCGTGATGTAGAAGTCGTCTTCGTCGCAGGTGTCGACGCGACGCTTGAATCGCAGGGTCAGTCCGTCTTCGTCCTCAGACGCGAAGAGGAGTTCGTAGTCCTGGCTCCCGTCCACCAGAGGCTGATTCCCTTCTGCGTGTCGGTCCTGGCAAAGTAAGGAAAATCCCTGGCGTGAGGGATTATCCATCGGAGAAATCCTGAGGGGATCCGTGCGATCCGGGTGAAAAACGGTCTCGAAAAACGAGAGGGGGATGCGAGTGAACGCGTTTCGCCGCGGATGTAATGAGAATTTCGACGCTGTTGCAGCTTTCGGGGTCGAAGACGATCCGGTGGAGATTTCTACCGTAGTTCAGAGATTTCGAATTCGCCCATTTTCCTCAATAAACGTATCCAGGAACAAAAGCACACGAAAAGAACGGCCGAAAACACTAAAATGACTGCACATGGTGAAACCATGCAAAAAAAAAGGCATCCCTACCGTGAAGAAAGTCTGTCCATCCTTGATCCACCCAACGACGACGTCGGATCCGTCCATGGCACCGTTGGCCGAGAATCCCAATCCGACCCATCCCCGAGTCCTCGCATGCAGCTCGAACGTGATCACCCCATTCTCCAAATCCGGAGTCCAGAACAAATTCACGATCCCATCTCGATCCAAGGCCTCGTGTCTCTCCCACGTCCCAGCGAGGACTAGTACTTCCCAGCCGAAGAAGAGGACTAGTACTTCGCCCGTCCACATATTTATCGAATCGGCTGCGGACTTCAGTTTTTACTTCACCCTCGACCGAATTCGGCTTGCTCTCTTGCTTCTCGTGTGAGAAGGCGCACGTCTCCTTATTGCGTGAACGATGTCGAACAAGCTCTGCTTCCCTGTCTCGATTTCCGGCACTATCATACCTTGCAGGATATGTAAAAGGTAAAAAAAAAAGAGAGTAAAAGGTTTCCGTATATGCATGCAACGTCCAAGGTTTGGCATGAGTTTGCGACGAATTATTGCATGGGTGTGGAAAGAGATGTTACTTTTGGGATCCTAAGGAGCTGGATCGAATTGTACATCGTATTGCATTGCATCCCAGGTCTGATTTTTATTTTTTTTTTTGGTTGGGCTTGTGGTTTGAATCTTGGGGTGAGAATCTGATAAGCGACGGTGTCGCGGGTTGGGCCCCTTTGTCCCGATCCCTTATCCCATAAGGCATCTCTCGCCATCCGGGCAAGCAAAATGTAAAAAAAAAAAAAATCGTAAGATGCAGATGCAGATCGGAAACCGATCGAACGCCGATAAAATGTTCCTTATCCTTGCACACGCCGACCCATACGTCTGATCGCATCTCCTGCCTTTCTCCCTCTTCCTTTCTTTGACCTTGAGCCCATTTTAGGAGTGGGGGAAGGACAAAGAGTAGAGGTCATGGCGATAGAGAATTCGGAAAGAAATTGGAATTAAAGGCCAGAGCTGTAAAAATACCATCTCATTTCCTCTCCCCGATGGCAATTCGCAAATCTCAGAAGATTGGCACACAAATTGCACATCGGAACCAGACGCCAAAAAAAAGCTCTGCGTTTATCCTTCGTCGATCACCGCAAACAAAAGGATCCGCTTTTCGTGGATGTTTTCCTCACTCCTGCATGTAAATGGACGACCACTGCGTGGATCGTCGTGGACGACCTTGTGACCGTCTCGAAAATGACGAAATGCTCCGCAGCGACACGATCATTGGGAAACAACCGACGACCCACCCCCCCCCCCTCCCCCAAAGATGGCAAGATCGACCTCGCACGAGTTCCTGAGAAATTATGAGAATGTCTTGATTCGACATCCGAAAGGCCGTGACCAATGTGTTAGACCCTGCTCCCGCGACGATCTCAAAGGAGCTGCCAAGCCTGGATGGATTTTCAATTCTTTGCTTGATTCACGCGATGAAATCGCTTTTTTTCGCCATCGCGATGGTCCCCATCACGATCACGCACGAGAGCTGATGGATAGAAAGAGGTCCACGTCTCGATCGCGACAAGAAATGACGGAAGTGGAACCTCTTCCCAATCGAGACTTGAGATGACTGAATGCCCCCCTCGCTCCTACCAACGTGGTCTATCGATATACCATCTGCAGTTCAGCTCAATGTATCAATATCTATGGTTTCCAAAGGCCATCGTAACGGTCCTAAAAAAAAGTAGAGCATGGCTTCATAATTGGCCTGTTTACGTTACCCTTGTATCAATGTTGTTTCAATGTTTTGTGCTACTAGGGTAGAACCTGATATTATGGATTTTAGCTCTTTTTCTACATGTTATAGTTGGCATCAGCACCTGCTGATGGGTATGTGATCAAAATCGGCTGTCGGCTCATCGGGCAAAAGTAGCAATGGGTACAGCCCTACTTAAATTTAGTCTCATATTTTCATTCGGTTTCAATAAAGATTAGGTTTCGGCACTTTTATGATCAAAAAAGGGTCCTTGTCATCAATACTTTACATGCCTAAAGATACCCCCCAATCCCGAGCAATTTCGGCATCCTGCGTTGGATGTTGGACGAATTATTTCCCTGGAATTTCCCCTTTTATATGTGCCCGAGTGCACCAAACCTCGAAACGGAACCATTCCCAAAGCAAAGACGGCCGACTCTACAACCGCCCTTTCGAAAAGCGGAATCAATGTATTTTCATTCTTCTTGAAGTGAAAACGACAGCTCAATGGTGGGGACTCCCCAAGGGGCACTGTCTCGGCGGAGGTTGGTATTCGCTCTCGTATTCTGGGAATGTCACGTCCTTCACTTCCTGCGGGAAACGGATTCATCCACTCGTGAGCAGGCGAGCATGCACCGTGCAGCAATCAGAAAGCAAGGAATGCATACGAGAAGGTCGGTTATTCGTCCGCAAATTCCTGGCTGTGGATCGAATCGAACCGCTTCTTGATAGGCTTCCAGGTCGAAGTTCTCCCAATCGAAATCTCTGAAGTATTCTTGAATGGTCTGGTTCGTCGGCTCCACTTCCCAATCGAGTGATTCCCTTTCGAGCAGAGAAATATAATTCCTGTCTTGTTTTTCATGGGTTAAGAATCATTTCGTCCTAATGATTCATGCTGATGCTTAGGTGAACTTATGAACATATTATTACATTACACTCGTTCCTCGCCAATACTTATCGGTTTATTTCGACAGACCAGGTTTCATTTTTAATCCTGTTCATTCAAATAATTGAATGTTCCGTTTTTCGATCCGCTCATTCTGCTTTTACGTGACGTGACCTGACGAGGCGCTGTGAGTAATTGTATCACTCACGGATTGGCCTGGTTCTTCTGTTAATGGCGAGAAAGCCCCTGTTTTCATGCATTAAGTTTGATTTTTCTTGATATGGCAAGCCGTTGAAAGAGTAGGTGAAATTTAGGCCTGCCATGGCAGCTGACTTTCATACATACATGTATAATTAAATATAAATAAGAAGTAATCAACAACTGGATATCTAGTGTCTAGACCAATCCAAGCATTTGCTTCCGTGATTTTAAATAAATACGGAAAATACATTGCCATTTGTTCCATCTTGAACTTGATTTCAATGAAAGCAATGAAAATATTTTCTTGAGGTTCTGAATCCAACTTCTGAATTCAACACAAACAAAAATTACACAGTGGCTCTTAGTGCCAATGAGTTGGCCCACTGTCACCGTTGGTGGTAGGAATATAGGAATCATTTTCTCTTCTATATGACGTAAATGTCTGTAATTCAGGAAAGGTTTTAATACATTTTTTTTTCTCATTGAAGCTAGTGTCCTTCATAAGACAGCTGGGAAGAAGTGGGATAAGGAAAATGGAAGTTTTTTCTCCTTCCCGAGTTTGAGGCTTGGAACGAAATCCAGGAGGTTCACAAGGTAATGATGATTTAAAATGCCATGAAAGTATTCTAATTGGTACATTTTCTTGAAAAAGAGACAGAGAAGAAACTCCAATGTAAAATAAGGACGGAAAGTAAAATTTAAAAAGGAATTGGGTAGCTGACCGCATATACAGTAAGTGTTTAAAAAATTATCAATTTTCATTTCAGTGTTTTTTTTTTAATTCAATGAAACCGAATAAAAAATAACTCACCAGTTCATGTGGACACTGCCAAGCTGAAATGTGGCGTGGAAGCGCTGAAAATCTACGTTCGTGTGGCATACGTTCATCTCTTCCACTCGAGGGTAATACATGACGAAAAATTCGCACATTTCGTCATGGGTTTTCAGCCCTCCGACGGTCACGTCCTCTCGTTCCGAGGAAGACAACTCGCATTCTGGATTAAACGGATTAAACTTTTATGCTGATGGCAGTTAGGAGCACTCTTCTCTTTCATTGCATTTCCATGAGGATTTTCGGTGATTCTCATTCATGTGAGAGAAGTAAATGTGAATATTATCTTAGGCCAATTCTTTCGGGAATAGCATTAGGCTGAAGTGACTATATCCAGCTTCAGCTTTAGCACTTTCAATCAACCGGAGAAGATGCCATTGATTGCCCTTTCTAATTTTTACTTCTCTTTGACGACCGCACGTCAAAGCCTCTAAGGGTCGGTCTTTTTCCACAGAAAAAGTGAGGAAGAAATTAAATATTGAGGACATCTCATACGAGTACGGAGCCAATAGGGTGACTATGAAGTCACTTGAAGGGTGTATGGGATAGTTTTCAGATTAGAGCCCCAAAGAGTATATCATACCGATGGTTACGTGATCGCCGGGAAGAAGTATAAACTCCTCTCTTAGGACGCGGCTCTGCTGGTAGTCGAAGTCGTAGTGTTCGTCGTGGAGGATCCAGGGAAGTTCTTGACCGTCTCTGAAAATTCGTGCTCTCATCTTCCTCCCTGTCGTATTCAAATATCTCAATATTGCGAAGAGCAGATGGCCTCTAGTTGTTGGATGTCAACATCTTAAGAAATCGTAGCGAATACCTTAATTGTGCTATCCCAGTCGTTGAAGTCACGGAATGAAAATACAAAACGATAACCTGAATCCACTCCATAATAATACAAGTAAATTTATTCCCTGCAAGATCTTGTCAATATTTGCAAGTCTTCTCTTAAGTACATTCTATTAAGTATATTTACATATACCTTCCAATTAGTCCAACACAAAATTTAGTCCGTATTGTTTACGGTGACGGTGGACCCATTGAAATCGGAGCAAAATGCGCATTTTGTGCATGGCAGCCCACAAAGAGTGAGAACACTTGAGACAACCGCTCAGTGGGTTTTCCTTGCAGTTACGCTAGAAATGTGCGCGAGAATTCTGGGTATCGATTGTTCCGTCCTGCACAGAGTACCCAGAATGAATGGAACATTTCGAACATATATTGGAATGACCAGGTATAATGCTAATTCATCCGATTCGCGTGCGATATAGGCCTACGCTTGGTATGAAGAAATTTTAGCAGGAGAAGTAGTGGGCAATATACAATTTTATGCTTTTCCTTTGCATCCATTTCCACAAATGTACGTAATACTACCTTAAACACATTGTTACAATTTGCGCGTGAACATCAACGTGTCTCGTGAAGGCATAAATTGAATGGGATAGAATTATTTTGCCCTAGATTTCCTATTTATTTTACCATCGCGACCTTGCGCCATGATAGCAATATATGAGCAATAAATACAATTTGTATTTAGAATGCTCTGTTGTGGCCTTAGGTATCCAAATTAACAAACTGGGCAATCAGGGATAGATGAGATAAAGATATACCGAGGAGGTGTGAATGCAGCAGTCCAGAGAAAATATGAATGCCCTCAGGAGGAAGCATCTCCGTGCATTCCGCAGGACAGTGTCCCACGGTCATGAAATTGTTCAATCCAGGTGGGACAAGCTGGAAGAACAAGACGAGATTGGGTGTGGGATCCAGTCCTATCTCAGCGAAAGCACTCAGGTTGGAAATGTAGGGATACTGCCATTGATCGTATAATAAGCGCAACACGAAGGTAGTTGCTTGGAAGGGCACGTACTAGCTTCAATGCCATTAGTTGATCCAGTGTGAAATTGCTACATGCAGAAAAGGAACAGATGGAGGGTGAAACCGTCACCCAAGTGCGCAAATCGAGCTAAAATCCGTTTTACACTGACCTTCACACGCGAAATGCCTGTGTGCAAGCCTCCGCATGCGCTCAAGCGCAAGGAATTGCGCCTGTGCACGAATGCCCCTAGGAATTCGCACGTAAAGAAGAAATGCAAGGCTTCCGTTTTGTATCGGGTCCCATTAAATCTCGAATGCCAACACTGTCATTTTTCGTGCGGGCAAACATTGCTTTTCCATCCTAGAACGCGCCCATGGATGCGCGAGGATTCGTGTGCATCCCCTTCCAACGCGAATGTGCAAACGCACGTGTTCATGCGTGTGAATGCATGAAACGCAGGAAACGCAGTGTAAGAGGTCTTTGGTTATCCGTTTTCGTGGACATTCTCTGTGGAATATACTTTTAAAGGTGGGAGGAAAGAACTTCTCATCTTGGCCTGGGAAAACTGGAATCAAAATGTGCCATCGTCTCTCAGAATATTGCCTCAGACTCCGTCTCATCGGGGTTGCCAACTTAAAGCAATGAAATGCATTACAGTAGTTGTTAGTCAAGCAATAAGAAACAGGCGCGGTGGGGCTCAACCACCGTCGTCGATTCGCCCCTTAATCGTAATCCTCGTTTCGTGTTACTGTCATTTCTGCTCTCACGGTTTTCGTTGAAGTTATCAATACTTTGAGGTGCGATGAATGGCTTTGCGGTTTTTAGATGTTTTGTGTATACAATGGGATTGTAGAAGCACAGCATGATTTTCTTTACATAGCGCGTTCTTCTTTCATGTGAAATTAGGTAAGGTACTACGAATAGGACGGGGTATAAAAACCATTCTTAATGGTCTCAAAGAAGAGATATCATTTGAGCAGTGCTGAAACTGCATCCCCCTAATGCGTGGAAAAGGTACATTTTTCATTCCACACACGAGAGAAAGTTGTTACATACGAGGGCCACTCAATAAGTTATCTACCTGAATATGAGGGCATTCATATTTTCTCTGGACTGCTGCATTCACACCTCCTCGGTATATCTTTATCTCATCTATCCCTGATTGCCCAGTTTGTTAATTTGGATACCTAAGGCCACAACAGAGCATTCTAAATACAAATTGTATTTATTGCTCATATATTGCTATCATGGCGCAAGGTCGCGATGGTAAAATAAATAGGAAATCTAGGGCAAAATAATTCTATCCCATTCAATTTATGCCTTCACGAGACACGTTGATGTTCACGCGCAAATTGTAACAATGTGTTTAAGGTAGTATTACGTACATTTGTGGAAATGGATGCAAAGGAAAAGCAT